GCGTCCGCCGGGGCACATCCACCCGCCCCGTCAGAGTCTGAGACAGGCAGTGTGGCTTAGTCTGAGCTGTGAAGAAATGCAGCTGCCTGTCCAGGGCCTGGCCCACAGTGTCCTCCGCTCTACCAACAGCAGGGCTGGGGACAGTACACAGGTTGTATATGGGGGCGCCAGGTCCCAAAGACCCCGAGACGCTCATGGGGGCCCAGCGAGGGCGGAGGCAGCTGCACAGCAGTGTCACGTGAGCTATGTGTGGAGTACAGTGACAGCAGACACACCCAGATCTGCCCACAAATCCTGGACACGCACGGAGTCCTCGGCATGCATCCGGCAGGAAGCGTCAGCCTCCAGGACCCGAAACTGAAGCCAGGGCAGCAGTGAGAGGAGGGCTGCTTCCCGTGCTGACGGCGCTCCTTCCGCCGGCACTGACAGCCACCCGTCTTCGTGATCGGTGGCGCCCAGAAGCTGCCCGAGGACACGAAGGGGAGACCCAGAGGCTGGGCCTGACCGTGCATGCTGTGGAGCATGCCGATGTGGAGGCCGCCGACACTCAGCTCTCTGAAGGACGCCCAACTGCTGCCCTACAAGCTGCCAACCAGGACTCTGCCCCACCACCGGCTCACAACCGCAGGGCATGCGCTATGTCACACCTCCACATCAGCCAGCGCCACCTGAGCGCTCCTGTGTGCCAGGTGTGTCGTCACCATCTTGCTTCATCCTCAGAATAACCCTACAAGACACTAGCCCCAATCTGATGAAGGAAACTAAAGCTCAGAACGTTAAGTAGAGGTTATGTGAAGCTGGTGCCTGAGTTCTCACCACTCACGGGAGAAAGCATCCTCTCTCTTGCACGTAGAAGGCTCAGGGACGCCTGCGCCCTGCAGGCCCAGGCCCAGTAGTGGGAAGAGGCACAGGCCCCCATGGCTTCTAGCCTGCTGTCCAAAGGCACAGACAGAAGGGACAGTAAGATCCCGTCCACTTATGGTGGAGCATGGAACTAGGATTCTCCAGTAACAGGGCTCAAAGGCTGTAGCTCAAGGCATGTAAATACTCTTCTCCGCTCCAGACTGGTGGGTGGCCCGGCATGTAGCTCAGAGCTGGGTCGTCACCTTATTGTCCCCCAGTGAAGTGGGAGATGGCTTTCCTACTCAGCTTCCATACATGGCAGGACTGGGGGTTCTCCTTCCCCTCGTCTCACAGGAAGGTTAAATCGGTCCCTCCCTTAGCAGCTGTCACCTGTCCAGGACTGGGCAGAGAAGTATCCGATCTCCCCTGAAATCGCTAGGACGCCATGGCAACAACCGTGCAGAGAGGCGGATGCGCAGCTCGGCTAGGGTGGCTGCACGAGGGTGCAGCACAAGGGGCAGATGCAAATGCCGGGGCAAACCCCAGAGGGTGTGCTCCCAGCTCAGGCCGCATGGCGGCCAGGTGAACGTCTGCCTGCCCCTCCTCAGTGGGGGGTGCCTGCAAGCACCCTGGGCCCTGTGGAACCCTTGCCTCAACCTTGTCAAGCTGCTTCTTCCGACCACACTGCAAGTCCTGCTCAAGTGCCTTCAAAGACACACAAAAATGAAACCAGCTGTTCCAACTTCACAAGGTTCTGGCCCTGCATACACAGGCCACGGTCACCAGCCATGTCGTGCTGCCGTCTGTCATAAAAGCAGCTGCTCGGACCCCACGAGCGTGAGTGACACTACACGCAAGGCACCGAGGGCCTCCGGGGCGCAGGACCCCAGCTCCTGCCACGTCCGCACAGAACCTGCACGCGAGTCTATCATAAACGGAAGAGACAGGAGCTGCCCGAGAGCTCCTTATCATCTGAGGCCTTAAGAACGTTCCCTGACTCCTCTGAGCCTGTTCTCGTCCCCAGAAGAGGCAGATGAGGGTGACAGCATCTCCTACGGGACCGCTAGGTGATGAAATGAGGTAACGCACGTGAGCTCTGGGCACTGAGCACTGGGCACGAGGCCCGGACACAGGAAGTGCTGCAGAGACGATCTCACCGCAGGGCTGTCTGTCTGTCCCTGTGGCAGTCTGCTCACTGAGCGCGGCACCGACAGCGCTCCTGTCCACTGGGCTCAGACTCGGCACCAGGCCCTGCGCCATGTGCATCCCAATGACCTGGCTCCCTGGGTGGCTTCAGGATGGGAGCTGGGTGCCAGAAGAGCTAGAAGTCCGGTTAGTCACCAACAGCAGTGACACCGCACTTCGCCCAGAGAACGGTCAGACAGGCACCATCGTGCGGAAGAGGGAAGTATGCTGCTCTTTTGGGGGTGACCACGACCCACCCTGCTCCCAGGGCAGCTATGCCAGCTCCCGGAGGGAACCCAGGGGTCCTAAGAGGTGAGTGAGCTGCCCAGAGTCCCGCAGACAGACCGCGTGCCCACCGCAGAGCACTGCGAAGCGAGTCCATTCCTAAGCCAATCCCACAGGAGGATGGGACCGGCGGCACCCACATGTACGGCCCCAAGCGCCAGCAGGGTCAGGGACCTCAGACAGGCGCTGTTCCTCACTCATGCTGCCCTAGGTACAGAGGTGGATGTTCCTGCTGCTGGGGAGAGCAGGTACTTTTAGAAAGTACCTCACAGTCTGGTGGGAAAAAAGTGCAGACAAGTTTCCTTTCCCCTAATAGTTCATTCTGTTTCAAATTCAAAGTAAAATGAAGAGGATCGCCTGGAAAAATGTTAAAGCTTTAATTTCAAATCACTTTCAATGCTTGTTTCATCTGACAGGAGCTTTGAAAGCAAAAGGCAATCTTTATCATTTGAAGTTTTTAAACTAAGTTGATGTGATTATGTCCAACATAACCAGATGCTTCTAAAAGCCAATTTTCAAAGTGACATCAGCCCCCCAAATAAGAAAACCTTCCTTCTGGCTGCTAATAAATCATTAAAACACTATCTTCATGTGATGCAGCTGCAATGGATGATCAATGGCCCACAGGCCGGCTCCTCAGAGCCGCCAGACCCACAGCTAGTGAGGACAGCAGGGTACCCGAGGGCTCCCGCTGCGGGCCCCTGCCTCTCGGCCTATCCCTGTGCTCCTGCTCACGGGAGGAGCCCAACCTCACTCAGCCGTCCACCCTCCTGGAGTGACTCAAGTGGAGACTGGACTAATTTAAGCTCATCCCTGTCATCCCATCTTCCGTCATTACACGACCCCGCGTGGGGCAATGAGCCCCGAAGGACAGTCTGCTGGCGGTGGGGTCCTCAGAGAGGTCTCCTTGTTCCGTAAAGGAGACCCAAGAAGGAAGCCTCTCCTCTCTGGCCACAGTGTGACGCCCCGAAGCTGGGTGGCCACCCTGCCCAAGAACAGGAGAACAGTGGGAGACCACACGGAGAAGCCCAGGTGTGGTTTAACGAGAAACAGGTGCAGTAGGTGCCCCTTATTCACGGCTCCAGTTACCCATGGTCAACCGCGGTCTGAAAACATTATGTGGAAAATTCCAGAAACAAACAATTCCTAAGTTTTAAATGGCACGTTTTGAAGTAGCCTGACGAAATCTTGTGCTGTCCCACTCGGTCCCGCCTGGGACGTGAGTCATCCCTCTGTGCTGGGTCTCCACACCGTGCACACTCCTGCCTTAGTCACTCAGTGGCTGCCACACTGTCATGGGATCACAGTGCTCGGGTTCAAGTCACCTTTATTTTATTTCATAATGGCCCCAAAGCCATTCACATAACATTTACTACAATTTCTAATAACTACTATTGACCTCCACTTTGTAAGTTACCCTCACCGCAGGCATGCACGGGTAGGGAACTCACAGCGCATCAGGGTCTGGCGGGTTCCGTGGTGTCAGACACCTACGGAGCTCTTGGACATATCCCCTGTAGTTGAGGGGGGAACACTGTATTTGGTCTTTGTCCGATTCCCGGCACAGAACTCCTAAAACTCTTGGGACCTCTTAGGGGAGAGGAGCATCTTCTGTTATTCATAACAAGACTCTTTCCAACATACCTGAGTTTATGCAAATGAGGTGACTCCTGGTGGGTCCCTAGGCAACTTCAGGATGGGCCTGGGATACCAGAGGGACCAACCATGGGATGAAAAGGTTGGACTTCTCAGCTCCACCCAACCTCCAGGGAGGGGAATGGGGCCAGAGGCTGCATTACTCTCCAATAGCCAAGGACTTAACCGAGCATGGAAACTCCACACAGCCCCTGAAACAGGTTCCGAGGGCTTCTGGGTTGGTGAACACATGGGGGTGCTGGGAGGGCAGAGCACCTAGAGGGCACAGAGCAGCTCTGCCCCCACACCGTCCCCGAGCACCTCCTCCACCTGCTGCTCTGAGCTGTATCCTCTGTAATAAACCAATATTCACAAATGACGCACTTTCCTGAGTTTTGTGAGTCTTTCCAGCAAATTATGAAGGGGAGGAGGAGGAAACCCCTGAATCTGCAGCCAGACAAAAGTGTGCGTAACCCGGGGACCCATGCCGGGAGTCTAAGCGAGGACAGCTTCATGGGCCTGAGCCATTCGCCAACGTCTGTGTGACGCGGGAGGTGTCAAAACTGAAGGGCACCGGCTGGTGTCAGGCTGGAGAGGACGTGCTAGAGCCATGGCAAGACCCTTCTGTTTGCAGCCACAGCATGCCGGCTCTCCTGTCAGTCTCTGTGGACGTCACTCCGCCCGGAGTGCGCCAGCGTACCCACACACACAGACGTCTGACCCAGGGCCGGCTTTGCACACCATCGAGGGGTCACTCGGAGCTCCCAATCCAGCCACACGTCCTCTCAGACCCCACGCACCAGGAAGCCAGACATCAGAGATCCCTCAGTGACTTAGCAGGTCGTTGGGAGGGCAGCATCATGTCACCTCACTGAGTCTCATTGCCACGGGGCAGAAAGGGGGCACCCTGCAGCCGCAGCTCCCCCTGGCTCGGGCCAGGCCAACTGGGTGGTGAAGCACGGCCACCCCTGAGCCAAGCCGGGGGCACACGCTCACCGACGCCAGCTTTCGAGGCAGGCCCATCCTTGGGTACACGCGGCCGCCAGGCTTACCTGCTGGTGATGGAGCTGTTCCTGTCCTTCAGGACTAGTTCTCGCTGCTGCAGCTCAACGACGAACCTGGACAGGTCTTCCGGGGTCCTGTGGGTCAAGAACACATCTCAGTGCCAGTAAGAGGGGGACCTGGCTGTGCCCACCAAAAGCCATGCCTCCAGCTGAAGATTCACAGACCTGGGACAAGTCAAGCGCTGGGTGCCTGGGCCCAGAGCAGGGCAGTGCGGGACTGTGTGCTCACACCACCTGAGTGCAGACCACAGGCCGCCACTAGCCACTGCACATGGGGCAAATGATTTTTATAAACCCTGGTTTTATTTCACCTGTAACAACAAGGTAGATACATGACAAAGTGTCACTTCACAGAGGATACGAAACGTGTTTGAAAAGCACCCATCCAGCACCTGGCAGGGAGGACGTGCTCAAGGCGCTCAGTTTCCTTTCCTCCCTCTCTTTCAAAACCCACCTAACAGCAGCAGTAATGATAAGAGCAATAATAAGAGATGGCCACGTGTACAAGGCTTTGTAATTTGTAAAATTGTTTTAGATTATCTCGGTTAATGCTCGGAGCAGCCCTGTAGTTTACCGCTTCCTGAAACGGCCAGTCCCAAGTCCGCTTCAGCTGTGAGCAGCGCTCAGTGCCGATTTGAAGCCCATCGTCTAACTCGGCACAGCAGCTCAGGAGAACAGGCACCGAGAATGTCATCACAGAAAACACCCAGCAGGTGTGCGCACTTGCGCCACAGCGTGGGGGCAAGCAGGCTGAACGGCTCCCCGGCAGGGAGTGGTGAGGGCCATCCAGGGGACCAAGGCCAGGGCCATGCAGGAGAAACTCCCACTGACCGCCACGCCACAGAACAGGAGAGCTCTACGCGAACCCTCCAAATACAGGCCCGCTCTGCGAATGGGAAAGTTACAGTGAAGAGACATTTATCAGCAAAAGAACTTTTCAGAAACTCAAATGGAGGTTGAACCAGCCTTGAATGTCAGCTCCATTCTTTTCAGAGCTTCCTCAAGTTTTCCAACATCAGAAAGTTAAAAATACTAGTAGAAAAATAACTAAGCAAAGTAAGTAAATCCTTTCAAGACAAGAGATTTTTTTCTGAAACATTTTGAAGAGATATTAAGGTCGTCTTGTATTTTTCTGCATTGCTTCCAGCTCTCTAATTTCCTCTGAAATAAAGATAATTTGAAATGTAACAATTTAACAATGAGGGGAAATTGGGAACCGTTCAAATGAAGAGAAAAACTCAGGTGCTATCCTTATGACGTGTTCTCCTCAGGGAATCTGCACCATCTCAGGACGCCTGCCCAGGCCGGCCTGCCCACGGCACGCGGGCCACACCCAAGGCAGCCAGCTCACAGAGCCTTCAGTGTGCGCTTCGCCCAAAGCCAGCGGACACCGAACTCAACACTGTGGAACCTTTAAGCAGCCATTTGCGCCCAGCCTCGAGGGGCCTGGCGCCACGTTCGAATGAAGCAAACCAGCTGCCCTCACTCCCTGACAACCTCCCCTCCCCATGCAGAGAGAGACATGCAAACCCTGTATCTGTGCTCCCGCGAACAGGACCTCCAGAGGCCTGTGTCACCTGAGCGTGTGCCACCCCTCCCGGTGAGGGCAGACAGGGCTGCTTTCACTGAGCCAAAAGGGGTAGGTCACCCCCACAGAACCAGAGCATAGACCACACACCTTTGTACAACCACAGCAGTCTGGCTCATGGGCCAGTGGGAAACCTGTGGTGTCACAGCGTGTGGCAGCAGAAGAGGGTGGGGTGGTGGAAGTATCTAGAACAGTTAAGAGTGATCCACAAACCATTTGCATCAGAATCATCTAGACTGACTCTAGCCACCTGCCCCACCTCTCAATCTGCTGAATCTAAACCCCTGGGGATGGGGTCAGGACCTGCAAACAGGCTTCCTGGTGACTCTCGGGCACCACTTAGAACCACTGCAGAGTGAAATGGGGGCACTTCCAAGCCGTAAGACAATCACACAATGTTGCAGGTTATACAAACAATTCTCTGCGCCACTAAGAAAGCCATCTACTGTACATTTGACAAGAAAACACTCTCTGAGGTTCTGTCAATTTGATGGACAAATATTAGGTTCCAGACCTTGGTCCAAATCCAAAAGGATCCCAGAAGACAAGGCAGAGCGATTCACCTATGAATGGCATTACAAGAACTCTGGAAACTAACACTTCACGTTGAGTGACCGCTTTGGCTACTGTGTAAGAAAGGTTACCAGACTTGTTGCCAACTTAATAAATAATAGAACAACTTCAAAATATAATAATACAACAAAATGCACTACAGACAATACAAATACATATTGGAAACAAAATGGCTAGGCTGCTCCACTGCACAGCTCCAGGGGGCAAGTCCCACTGTTCACAGAAACATTTCTTCTCAGAGATGAGATCAATATGCAAAATCACCACACACGGGGAGACAGGCGCTAGTCTGAACGCTTTACATAACTATGCAGCTTCATCCATTCCACAGCCCGAAGAGCTGGGAGCTGGGACGACCCCACTGCATGGAGGAGGAAGCTGAGGCACAGAAGGCTCAGGTGGCATGCCCAAGGCACAACCAGCAGCTGGAAGAGCCGGGCTCCGAGGCCAGGCTGTCATGCCCAACAAGTTCAGACTAGTGTCACAATATATGCCAGACAAACAATGACATTATAATAGCGACATGAAAAACTATTTTTAATGCTAATATATTTGCTTCTTTTTAACTACACAGGCATATATACCGAATAGAGCAAAACCAGCAAAAACGGTTAAGTGAAACTAGATTAAAACTCTATCTGCGTAGAGATAAGAACCAGAAAATTACAGTGGCAGAATTTCTGATATTTTTTCATTTTTTCAAAGAGTTTCTATAATTTTGTTGTGAAATTTTTTTCAACAAGTTACTTGTATGCTGCATTTTCCAGCTGTGGAAAGGGGGGCCACAGTGACCACTTCTGACAGGGTGAGACCACACGTCATGCTACATGGCTCACGCAGTGGCTCTGTGGGCCGTTCCAAAGAGGAGCCCCCAAGCGTCACAGCTGAGCGGTGCCTGGAGACCAGCGTGAGAACTGGCTCTGGCCTCGTTCTGCTCCCGTAGCCCAAGAGTGGGCAGGCACTTCCCGCCTCCCTGGCTTGCTGATGAAGGTCAGCCGGCGCCCGGGCCTGGCTCCGCACAGCATGTGAGGACCTGAGGGACCGCCCGCGCCATGCCAGGGACCCTGACCTACGGCACAGAATGAGGCCCACGCGCATGCGTGTGCATGGGTGTAACACATCACAGTGTGTGTGCGCTTCCCTGGCCCATGCTTCCCAAGATACGCAGGGCTGAGGCTGAGCACAGAGAAGGGGAGAGAGTCCCCCCGAAGGCGCGGCGAGATGCCGGGTGTGCCTTCTCACTGCAGGTAAGGGTCAGCGCGTGAGGTGCTGAGAGGGGACAGCCGACTGCACGCGGGCCAGAGGAGGCCGCAGGAGCCGGCTGCTGACATCTGTGTCACGAGGAGGGAGCCCACTTATTCAGAACAGAGGGAGCACCTGGCCTGCAGGTGGGGCCTTGACCAGCATGGCACACGACCGGTCCCCAAATCTTGTTCGCAGCCTGTCCGGGAAGAGTGGGTGAGCCGGGCGGCGACACGGGCATGCAGGGCAAGGCTCAAGTGTAAGCGCCTGCTCCATGCACGCACCCGAGACCACACCTGCGACTTCTGCTTTCTAGGTCCAGAGGAGATAAGCCAATGGCATGTAGGTGCATTTGCAGAACATAATCTGGGAAGATTCTCATAAGCACCCCCAGGTCAGGGCTGAGACGGAAGGTGGCAATCAAAGGGGTCTTTAACTTCATGTGCATGATCTGAATTTCTTACCATGAAAATTCATGTACTACACATACAAACACAAATACAAACTAAGAACCCCGGCCTCCACGTGTATACACGCGCGCACACGCACACGCACACGCACACAGCACGCTAACCGTGTGGAAACAGCCAGCTGGGAGAAGCAGGGAAGCTGACAGAGGACGGGGCGCAGATCAGCACAGCATGAGCCCAGGGCGCTTGGGACACGGGAAGAGGGCATCTGGAGAGGAGGAAGGGACAGGAGAAGCCCTGGGATGCAGGACTCGGGGCCTGATGCTGTGGGAAGCAACCGCGGTTACGCCATCAGCCCCCTGTCAGGAGTCCAAGCGCCAACTGACAGAGGAAGCTCCTGAAGAGCTGTTGAATCATGAGGGTTATTAAACAATTGCAGCCTTCAGCAACAACCAGAGGCCAAAGTACCTCCAACTGGCAAGAAGAGTGTTTATTTTCCAGAAACCTCCCGACCTGGTGTGTGGTTAGAGCTACTCAGAGATGTTTACCAAGGGTGCTCCAGGGATTAGCTAAACGCTTACAGCTAGCAGGAGCCGGGCCAAGTGTCATGACAGCCCAGAATAGCACAGGCCCTCTCCGACAGGGACATCAGCCCATCCCCAAACTTCCGCTTCTAGCAAGTGGAAGACCTTCAGAGGGCCTCAGGATCCTCCAACTTAGAGATGACAGGAAAGTGACAGTTCCAACTGCAGCCCAAGCTGTGACATCTGCTGTTTAAAACTCTGGCTTCAGCTGCGAAGCCTTTTAACTCTAACTGGTAAGCTTTAAAGGGAGGGGGGGAGTCTTTTTGTTTGATCTGCAGCTGAATTTTGACTCAATCTCAGCTGCCTACAGAACAGCGAGGGCCAGGGGGAGTATAGCCCGCGGGCTATTTCCAGGGAAAGGCTGTTCCAGCCCCGGCAGCAGCTATTCAGCAGGTGCCAGGCTCCTGCCGAAGCCCAAAGTGCCCGTTTCAATGGGTCTGAAAGACGAGAGGCAGAGGACTCCGATTTCTAAAATGAATCAAACAGCAACAACCACAAACTAACCAGCAACGAATAAACCTCAAGATCTCTTCTGCAGAGCTATTCTCCCAAAGAACTGAAGCCCACAGGGCTTAGACCATCATCCCAAGGTGGCCCTCGGCTAGAGGGCTCTACAGGAAGGAGACACAACCTAAGCCAGGCGGCTGCCTCACAGGGCTCGTTTTTGCAAAAAGTATA